ATATATCTAATGGTTACAACCCTCTTACAACTCTTTAATTCCGAAACGCGAACCTTTTTTTTTTTTTTTGATATATATTTGCTGTTTGTATAATAAGAAATATAATTTCAAAGAAACGTTTACATACAAAAAAGTGGATTTATAAAAAACAGGCAGGGGCTAAAAGAAGATACTGATGACTAAAGTCACCATAATCTTTTCATGGAGCCCCTAAGTGGGCTTTACAAATTAAAAAAAAATAGGATCTCCAATATAATAAAAATTTTAAAGCTTGCATAAATATTTCCATTAAATCAAGAAAGTAAATAACATCATATAGTTTTAGCCATATTCATTTAAATATACTGGCAACTCTGTTAAATATCAAATGAAGAGCCAATTAAACAAGTGAATAAATTAAGAATAATGGAACTCGATTTACATTTCGAAAAATCAAGAAAACTGTTTATCTAATTTAAAAATTTTATTTTTTATTATAAACTTAAAGGAACTTAATGATTTTGCAGTATTTAAATTTTTTGTTTTTTGAAAAGTGTTCCATAGTTTTGGTCCGCGGTATGATATTCCATATTCAGAATACTTACTATTAATTCTTGGCCATTTACAAGTATTCGATTGGTTTATTCTAAGAGAACACTTTTTGTTTACATTTTTTGTAAATTTATCATTAAAGTTTTTTGGAATCAAGCTGTTGTTACATTTATACATAAAAATTAGGTGTTGGTAAATGTTGATTTCATATATATTCATCATTTGCATGTCTTCCATTAATGGTTTTACTTGTTCATATTTATTTTTTTATATATAAGTCTGCATGCATGTTTTTGTAGAGAGAATATTTTTTTAAGTTTTGTTGGTTGAGTACTAGCCCATGTGATATTGGCATAGTAAATGAGACAATGTATTTGCCCAAAATATACTAGTTTCAGACTTTCTGATGTTACATATGGACAAAACCTTGACGAACAGGGCTTCCGCGCAGAGAAACAGATTGATATTACATGAAACATGTAATATATTTTATAACTATTTCTCTTTTTTAATTGAAAAAAGAAAAAAATATCTTTTGAGTTTAACTGAAAGTTAAATGAAATTTTGCAATTCGTTACCAATCTTTAAAAAAAGTCGAGTTTCTATTGTAAAATTTCGAAGTTATTTTTATGTTATTGTATATATTTTTTGAAGCTTTTAAATAATTGCATCTATGCAACTCCTCTAGCAACTAGTTACTTATGAAATATCTAATTAACTGAATGAGTCATATTTTTCATATTTACAGGGCCGTTCCGCAGGGAGGGGCGTAGAAAGGTGTCTACTTCCCTACTTATTTTATTAATAGGCAAATTGGACACTGGAGTCGGCAAAATTGTAATTATAGTAGGCAAATGTCGGCCAAGGACCTTTTTTTTTAGATATGTTAGTCGGGTAAAAAATCTTTTTTGATTTTAGTCGGCAAAAAACAGATACGTCACCCCGCCCCCACCCCATTGAAATCTCTTCGGGACGGGCCTGCATATTTACATTACTGGTAAAAAAGAAATTAATAAGTCTCGTGTTTTACTTTATGGGTTAGTCTTTTTTACATATTGACTACAACCTGATTTATCTATTTTTTTAAAAAAAAAAGAAGAATCAGGTGATAACAGAATATTAAAAAAATTTAGTTTAAAGAAAATAGTTTTTTGACACCATCAACAGTCTTCACGGCAAGTTACTTGGATACTAATTTGAAAATCACAATTTTATCTTAAAGTATCATCAGGCTTTTTATTACAGGAGTGACTATAAACTTCTTAGTAGATGTTTACATAACAAAGCTTAAAGCGCAAATGAGATTTTTGTTTCGAACCACTTTAGAGAAAAGTTGCATCGGTAATTTAGAAATGTTACATCAGTAAGTTTATATATTTATGGTATATTTGATTTATTTAAAAGTTATACCAGGTAGAGCGTTGCAAACGCCTATTATTATTATTATTATTATTATTATTATTATTATTTTTATAATCTTTACTATTACTTATAATCGCTGTTATTACTACTATTATTTTTATTTACTCGTATTATAATAATTATCATTTTATTATTAATGAATTTTACAGGTGTTTACTTAAATTTAATACTTATTACTATTTGTAGATAACCTTGATGTAACAACTTTATTCAGAATATATTTGATTTGATAATATCTTAAAATTTAATTGGTTTAAAATACTTATTTTCTATTTTGGCATTATAAGATATAGCGTAACGAGGGGCAAAATGAGACACTAAGCACTAATTTATCTAATACGGCCCGTCTAACAACTTTTGAAAAAATAACTTGATATTTTTCAATTCTTCTACCATCCTACTTGAAGCTTACTAAATATGCAAAACTGCATTGGTTTGGTCACCAGAGATCATTTATTTACAGCACCTATCCTGTCTCATTTTGCCCCGTCTAACAACTTTTGAAAAAATAACTTGATATTTTTCAATTCTTCTACCATCCTACTTGAAGCTTACTAAATATGAGTTGCAAAACTGCATTGGTTTGGTCACCAGAGATCATTTATTTACAGCACCTATCCTGTCTCATTTTGCCCCGCATACCGGGGCAAAATGAGACATATTTTTTTTTTTAGTAATTTAAATAAATAAAGTTAAACAAAACAGATCTTTAAGAGGATTAGCAAGAAATACATTTTATAATATATTACAGCTATAATCAAACTGTCACTAGTCACATAAATCACATATTGCTTGACCAGTATTTTAAAACGAAAAACAGTCCGAATGAGCCCAGGTTGTGCATTTTGAATATTGACTTCTCTCCTACACACACACACACACACACACACACACACACACACACACACACACACACACACACACACACACACACACACACACACACACACACACACACACACACACACATATATATATATATATACATATACATATATATATATATATATATATATATATATATATATATATATATATATATATATATATATATATATATATATATATATATATATATATATATCCACTACAAGAACTAATAAAACCATACATGCATATATTGAACTTATGTATTTAAAACACACATAACATTCATTGTATTTTGTTTATAGTTTACTGCAATAACCTATATGCTATAATCTACTCACTATATATTTTATATACTACTTACTTTATTACATTACAATTACATATACAATACAATAAGATTATAAAATAAAAACATAGTAAATATAAACATCAGCCAATTATTTGCTTCAATTTGATTAAATATTTATTATGTTTAAATATAAGTTAACAAAATATAAAACATAATTATATATTGGATAACAACTAAACATTTCAATTAACAAAATAAAAAGTAAGTAAATACAGTATAATAAATTTAAATCTAAAGCATGTAAATATTAACATTTGCTAATTTTGTTGTTTTAATGTAAAAAGTTAAACAAACATATTATTAGATATCGGCTAAACAAATACAAACAGAATGTCTCGTTTTGCCCCGCATCATATTGGCATCGAATTGCCTAATTTCCAGGCTATTTTATTGAAGAAATAAAATACCAAAGAATGGAAATGATAGAAAAAGGCCTAGAAATTCTAATAAAAAAAAAACTTTAAATATAAAAAGCTTTTCCACTCAGTGAGATTAAAAAAGGCTAGGAAAAACTATAATAACAACACTTAAAAATTCGTAATTTTCGCGAAGCTGAGGGATGAAATGATTCCCCTTCTACTCAACTTTTTTTTTCAAAGTGACTCATTATATTTTTCTTGACACAAAATAGTTTTTGAACACAACTACACTTTTAAAAATCATGCAAATAATAATTTGTAGGGCTGGCATCATGATAAAAGCGAACTGTCTCATATTGCCCCGCTGTCTCATTTTGCCCCGCATTACCCTATAACTTTAAGAAACTGTGTAACTTTTAAGAACTTTTGAATACTTTGGTTTTCGTTGGGATTGTATTTTACAGTATTCATTTTAATCTATAGCTTAATATTCATAAATTAACTACATTAACCATTATACACTTATAATAAAACAAAAAGAGTAACACGCAATTCAAAAGAACTGGCAATGAATTTTAGAGGAAAATCAATTGTGATTGATGATGAATCGTATTTCCACCTGAATTTAGATTTAATGCTAAGGAAGAATTATTTTTTTTACCAATGTTAAACCTTGATAAGATTTTGGATTTTATTGTTTTAAAAATCTAATAAAACTGATAGTATGGTTGTGTACTTGTAAAAATAGTATGGGGAGCCGTTCTTCATTGAAAAACCAAGCAGCTGCACAAATAAGATTTATTAAAAAATTATTTAAGTGATCTCATACCTTTTATCAATCGTTATCATTTTGACCTGATTTTGTATTGCCCACTACCCGCGTAAATTAATAGCTTTGCTTAATGACAAACATTCCATTTGAGGGTAAAATTGATAATCCACCCAAATTGACAATGTCTTCCAATCAAGAAATATTGGTCGACAATAGCGAAATTTAAAGAATGGATCAGAGGCTGATTTTATAAAACAATTCAAAAATATCATAAAAAATGTCCATTAAATCAATTGACAAAATGAGTTTATTCTGCGATTTAGCGTCACTAATGCCGCGCGTCTAAAAAAAGTTAAAAAATCATAAATCATAAAGACAAGGTTTTGTGTTTTTTACAAGTTTTTATGTTATATTATCAATGTATGTTTTAGATATTTTTTGCTTAAATCATTATTGTCACTTTTTTAAAGAAACTTAAGCTAATTTTTACGCAACACAGGTTAAAATTTGCAAACCCCTTTTCTTCTCCTTTCCACGAAGATATGCTTATATTATATATTATATGCTTATTAAAAAATGTACAAATAATATATTCAAATAACATCAATATTAAACTTTGAATAGGACATAATTAAATAAGTAATTTTAACACAAAAATATCAAAATCGTGTAAGCTTATGTAAAAAAAAAAAATAAGTACAAAATTTATTACTAATACAAAAAATAATTTACAATATTATAAATAATTTTTGCCAAAAAAGTAGTAGAAAAATATAACTGTTAAATCTATGAAGAAATCTATTTTTAATAAGTACTGAATTATAATAGCTTTTACGATTCCATCTTGGCAACAAAAGTAGGCTCAATGTCAACAGGAATGTCGTCTTGTGTTAATAAATCTTGACCTTCATCTTCTTCGATTCTTTGCTGAATATCTAAAGGCACGTTTTCGTGGGTTGTCATATGCGCTAAAAGATTATCTTTTGATTGATATTTTTGTAAACAAATGCAGCATGAATAAACAGTTATTCCTTTATGCACAATATAATGACGTAAAAGTTGCGCTTTTTCCTCAAACGTTTCTCCACAAAATGTACAGCTAAATGACGTCCTTTCAGGATGATTTTTAACATGCTGTTTGAGACTCCACAGACATCTAAAAGATTTTTGACATAATTCACAGGTCAAAGATTTTCGTTCTTTGTTATGAATCATTTCATGGCGTTGTAAATTTGCTTTTTGCCGAAATGCCTTGTGACATGTCTGACATGGAAAAGGTTTTTTATTCATGTGGATTAACTTATGTTTGAGTAAATTTGCTTTTTGAGAAAATTGTTTGCCACATACATCGCAAACAATTAGACTGTGATGCGCGCGCTTATGGGATTCAAGACTTGCCATTGATACGAATAATTTTGAACAGGAATCGCAATGATAGGATTCTTTTTTTGTTTTCATTTTTTGTTTACCGAATTCTGACAGTTCGTCCGACGGAACAATTGTTAGAATATCGTCGTTGTCATGGTTCAATTCTTCTAACACACTAGTTTTCTGTTGCTCGCTTCTCTCACTAGTTATAGAATTACTTTGGCTTAAATCGTCCAACATTGTTGGTAGTGGTTCCTCAGTACTCATGTAATCTTCTTTTTTAATTGGATTATAATGTGAATTTAATTCGTCTTCACTATTTTCACTATTTTCACCATTATAATAAGAGAGGTTTTCTTCATTAAAGTCAACTTCATTATTCTTTGATTCGTTGCTTAGCCGATTTCTTTTTCCAGTTTTATGAGTTTGAACATGTCTTTTTAAATTCCCTTTCTGGTTAAACCTTTTCGTGCAAATGTAGCATGAAAATGGTTTAGCTCCAGTGTGAATGAGAGAATGCGTTTTTAACGAAGCCATATGATTAAATCTTTTGCCACAAATTTCACATACAAAATCACGATTCTGTGTATGTGTAAGTTGATGACGTTGAAGGTTTGATCTTTGACTAAACGCTCGATGGCATAAATGGCAGACGTGAGGTTTCTCTCCGCTATGAACAATTAAATGTTTATCTAGATTTGGTTTATGGTTAAATCGTTTTGAACACAGATGACACTTGTAAGGATAAATACCAGTATGAATAAGCATATGTTTTTCTAAGCTGTATTTGTAAGTAAGAGTACGGTTACAAATTTTACAACTATAATTTCCTCTTTCATATCGTCCTTTAGATTCGTATTCGTGTGATCCACCTAAAATATTATCTTTAATAAACTCTTGATTGTCTTTAATCATCTGTTCTTCGTCTTCAGTGATTAGTTCAACTTCACCATCATCTTTCTCGTCTGTTTCAATTTTATGAATTGAAAACGCACTTGAAGTGTTTAACTGTAGTGTATCTGTTTCGAATTGTTTTGGGGAAATAGAAAAGCTTTGGGACTGGATTTGATTTACATTTTTACTTTTTTTATGTAAATCAAGGTTTTCACCACTGTGCACGGTAGCATAATGTTCTTTCATGTGAGTTTTAGATAAGAAAAGTTGCTTACATAATGGGCAGCGCGAAACACGAGTTGTTTTTTTTTCTTTATGATTTTCTAAACGATTATCATGCCTTGAAACAAACTCAATTGGAGTAGAAATTTGCTCGTCTTTCAATTTTGGCACTAATGACTTATTAAGTTCTAGTAGTTTAGAAGACTGGACGCTAGAAACATTGAACTTGCTGTTTGGATCAAATGAGTTTTTACTTAAAGTATGATTTGTTTCTATATGTTCTTTCAGCTTAGTTGATGACATAAAAATAACACCACACACTTCACATTGTAAAGGAGATGCTCCATCATGCAAACGATTATTAATGCGTGATTCATCAGAAAACTCTCTTTGATGGCATTGAAGGTGTTGGTTGTAGACAATCGGATTATCAAAATTTATTCCACAATCAACACAATAAAACGTTTCACCCGAGGACTTCTCGAAATACTTTTGAGGCAAAGACATTGCTAATGAGGCTTCTTCAATATGTTCACTAAAGTGTCTCTCTAAATTGTCTGAGGTAGTACACTTTTGATAGCAAATGTAGCATTCTGTAGTTGATGTAACATGCACAAGCATGTGACGTTGCAAGTTTGTACGCGATCCAAACATTCGATTGCACGTTTGACACATAAAACTACTTGAACCGTTTGTATGTATAGTGTAATGCTTTTGTAATGAAGAACGCTGACGAAATGCTTTGCCACATACGTAACATTGAAAAGGTTTGGACCCAGAATGAATGAGAAGATGTTTGTGAAGATTGGCTTTCTGAGCAAATGTTTTTTCACATATATCACAACGGAACTCCTGACGATCAAATGAAATTAGATTTTCATTATTATTGGAAACGTCACTGAATTCTTTTGTTGATGATAAAAAAGTATTTTTTTCAACTCCATCATCAATAAAATCATTCGATTCATCGATAAAATCAGATTCACTTAAAATATCTCTTGAAGCTTGTACAAAATCATCTTTATTTTGCTCTGTATGTGAAAGTATATGCCTTTGTAAATTTGCTTTTTGAGTAAAAGATTTCGAACACATTGAACATCGATATGGTCGGCTGCCTTCGTGTATATGCATATGGCGTTGGAGGTTAACTTTCTGAGTAAAACGCCGAAAACAAACTGCACACTGATGCGGTTTAACACCACTATGAACAATTAAATGCGTGGTAAGATTAGTTCGATGACGAAACTGTTTACCACATACGTGACAGTCTAATGAGTTAGAACGATCTACATGTATCAAAGAGTGTTGCGCACGGTCGCTTTCCGTTTCAAACATTTCATCGCACAGATTGCATCGAAAAAATTTCTTTTCATCTAAATTATCAATTAGTCTGCATTCACCCTTTTTCAGCATAAGAGCTTCGTTTACAGGTTGAAAATCTAAAGCTGTCATGGTTGCCATTGAAGGAGATTTATTTACAAAGTTTTTATTTTCCAAGACTTTTTGATTTTGAGAAGACAGGTAAAGCAAGCTTGTATTACACGTTTGTTGGTCAGAGTAGTCCTCAAGTTCTATTTCCTCTTTTATTTTTGCTACTTTCTCATCTAAAAAAAAAAAGTATTTATTCTGATTACACTTTCCGTTTTGAATTAAAATATAATGGATTTAAAAAAAAAAAAATTAAAACTATTATAGTTGTTAAATATTATTTAATTCATTTTTTTCATTACAATATTTTTTTGATAATAAAAATCTGACCGGAATTTTGAACTTTTATATTTTCTGAAGCTTGAGCAGCATGCAATGGATGCATCTCGAAATGTTTTTGCAATGCTGATAATATCAAAAAACTTTGATGACATTGAGAACAAGAATATAGCTGATCCGTTGGCTGTGTGTTGACAAACTCTTTTTCATGATTTTCATTGTAATGCATTTTTAATTTGTCTTTTCCATCAAATATCATATTGCAAAACTTACACTCGAACGTACCTGGTTTCAACAATTTTGGCGGATCTTTTTTTAAAAGGCTCACTTGTTCGTGCATGTACATATGTTGACGATACTTTACATCTTCGTAAAGTATTTCAGAACATATAGAACATTTAAAAAGGACTCCTGAATTATCAAACGAGAGTTTTGTATTTTCAACAGACAATTGATTATAACCATGAGAGCTAGTGTTTCGATTCAAACTATTTTCACGCGATAAAGGTGAATGATGTGATTTAAAAGAAGAAAACTTTGAATTATTATTTGCTGGTATTAAGTTAGAATATGACTCGTGAGTTTTTGAATATTGCTGGTGAGTATAACCTTCAGTGGAATTATTCTCAACTATTAAACACTTCGATCTATCGGGATCATGAATTTGATTTGGTGATTTATTAATGTTTTCTTTATCAATCCGTTTAACAACTTGATCATTACATTGTTCGTCTTTTGTAGTTGTATATATGGCGGGTTTTTGTTCTAAAAAAAGTTATAATTAAATTATTATTGTAATGCTAACAAGGAAAAAATATTTTATTTGTTTGAACATAATAAATAGATTGTATAATAACTAGTTAAATAAATAAGGACTTAATAAAAGGTTAAATAAATATTTTTAGTAATAAGCAGAGATTAGAATCCTTAAACCCTTTTTTAACATAAGGTTTCTAAAACTCCTTTAACAGAACCCTAATACGCAAGATTCTAAAACCACGCGGGTTTCCTAACCCTTTTTTTTTGGAAGGGTTTCAGATCACTTTTTTGGGACCTTTGCTTTTCTTGAGGTTAAGGAAGCCCAGAAAAAATGGGTTTCTAAAAAATTAAATTAATTTTAAAATCCTTTTTCAAAACCCCGGTTTAAGAGGTGACAGAACACGTTCTCCGAAACCCCATGTTCAAGAATCCCAAATTTAGATAAGGGTTCTTATCCCTGGTACTAAATACTAAAATCATTACAAAAATCGAATTAGTAATTCTTTTCGCAAACCATCCAATTAAAATCATTTATTTAAAATCTGTGCACATTACTGCGTAAATGATAATAGTAGAGTAAAAGTCTATTATTAACGTTGATTCAATCTTTTAATAAATGTTATTAAAAAAGAGATTTTAAATTATTTTAATATTTAAAATAAGACAAATAATTTATTTAATAAAAAAATTAAAAAAATGAAGCCTAAGTTTTTTTTCAACCGAACAAAAAACGGTTTCTCACACACTAAAACATGAATTTTCAAATATTTTCCATTCGCCATCTTTCCTCGTTTTCCTCTGCATTTCTAATCCTCTATGTCGTGTTAGTAATAAAAATCCTAATCTAATTTTCGAAGAACGGCGAAAGCAAATTTGAAAGTACAATTCACTGAGTAAAAAAACAGGACTAAACAGGATGAAAAGTTATCGACAAATTTATCATCTCAATAAAAAATACTTTACCATTTACAAGTTATAAATTTGAAAAACAACTTTTTTAAAACTGGACATAAATAGTATTTTATAGTGAAATTTTCATTGTCTCAATGAATTTTTTTAACAATTATATAAACAAATAAAAACAAGATATAAAAAAAAAAGAATTGTTGTTCTCACAAGTGGGCAGGAGTCTGAATTTCAGGAAAATATTAACAAATTCTTTGCTTTAATACTTAATAAAATTAAGTATATTATGTTATTATAATATATTTAAAAAATTTACCTAGGCATTGAGACATTTTAAGTCTTGAAATAACTGCTTGTATCCCCCCAATCCTTCTTGGTTTTGAGACTGATTCATTGCAAGTAAATGAAGCAGTAGTATCACTCTAAAACGACAAAGAAAATTCTTCAGTAAACTTATTTCTGTTTTTAAGTAAATAAAAACTTTGAAAACTCATAGCAACTCGGTGGGAAATGAGCTAGCGAGCAACTAGCGAATAGCAATATATAGATAGCGACATGTCGTAATAAAATCGCAATGTTACAAGCTCAATAATTACAACTAGCGAATATCTTTTATAGCTAGCTTTATATCGATTTTTCAGCGATTTCTTTTCTCTCTTTATTATTTTATTTTACGTCTTTTACGTCTTAAAAAATTTAATTTTTACTACTGAGTTATAAATATATTTATGATATTAATTATTATCAATTAATTATTATCATGTTAGACCCAGTAATAAAAATCAAATTTTTTAAGACCTAAAAGACGTAAAATAAAATAATAAAGAGAGAAAAGAAATCGCTGAAAAATCAATATAAAGCTAGCTATAAAAGATATTCGCTAGTTGTAATTATTGAACTTGTAACATTGCGATTTTATTACGGCATGTCGCTATCTATATATTGCAACTTTACATCAATATTATATATGATATATCGTGGCACTGTAGTTAGATAAAACATAACGATACATCTGTAGTTAGTCGATGGCTACATATCGCAGCTTTGTAGCTAGCAATGTTATTACGATATATTGATAGCTTCAGATTGTAGGTATGTAGCTAACTACAACATCCAAAGCTGGCCAACGGCTATATACCGTTGCTTTTTAGCTAACAATGTTGTTCTACGTATCACAGCTTTGTCGCTAGCTACTACATAACGACAATTCTATAGCTACTAGGTAGACAACCATCTAACTAGTAGCTATAGAATTGTCGTCATCAACCAGATACTTATATACGTGCTAAATACATATTGTAGCTTTGTAGCTTGCTAAAATATAACAGTAACTTTATAGTTATTAGGCATCGGATAAGTTCGTTTAACTTCAGCAATCAAAGTTAAACGAAGTCGAATAGGAAATATTCGTTAAACTTTGGTTAAAAATACTATTTGCTTCACGAACATTACTATCCGCTTCACGAATAATACTATTTGATAAACGAATAGTATTAGGTCCTGATAAAATTTTGATCAATAAATATATAAATATATTTGTTATAGGTTCCACTATTCGTTAAAATTCAACTTCATAGATCAAAAATCTGATTTTAGTTTCCTTTTCATTTTAAAAATCGCTGAATAAATAAATCCTTTCGGACATTATTAGCGATTCTTAAAATTCTTTCTAGACATTTTTAATGTTTGGAACACTAATAATTCCGTTTGGGTATTATATCCGTACCAAGGAATTTACGCGAGAACGTGGGGGTAAGATTCGTAGCCCTAAACGTAAAAAAACAGATAATAGGAAATAAAAAACAGTAATGATTATTTAAGGTGGTTCACCACCAAAATAAGCTAAATTTTTATCAAAAGTTGGTTTTTGAGATTTTTTTTGTTTTATAGTAATTCAACATTGCTGAAAATGTTTCTGGATTCTGTTTTCGTATATCTTGAGTATTTTTTGAAGTATTTTGCTTTAATTAGACCTTATCAGATAACTTTACCATAGCAACAGCCCCTAGCAACGCAAACTTATGTTTATAATTGCCCTCTCTCTTTGCCTTGATTTAAGTTTTTTTGTTAGTTACGCATTAGTTTAGTAGGCCAGCATGGTTTGACAAAAGTTTAGAATGTAACTGTCTATGGAAGTTGCTATTTTTGCATGATTTATCTGAAGCCATCTTGTGATAATTTATTGTTGTATTTGAAAAGCTTTGTATTTTTCTTATTATTTAGTATAACTTATCAGTTTCATATTATATATTTTAAAATATTAGGATATTATATATAATGGGAAGCAAAAAAAAAAAGAGTTCAAAAAGAAAAAGAGCATTTTGTGGCAACCGGTGAGCGAAAGATACTATGACTCAGAATGAGGTTTTGGTTTTTCAAAAAACGAAGACCAAATTTATTACTGATTTGGGGAGAAATGTAGGAGAGTGCTGCTACATTGTCTAATTTAGGGATAACATACAAGGGAATGCTGCTACATCGACAAAGGGTTAGGTATAGATCAATCGATGTAGCAGCACTCTCCTACATTTCTCCACAAATCAGTAATATATCTGGTCTTCGTTTTTTTGAAAAATCAAAACCTCATTTTGAGTCATAGTATCTTTCGCTTACCGTGGCAACCAGTGGAACAAAACCCCTACCCTAAAAGAAGACGAAAATGTTGAGCATATTTCAGTTAGTGCCAGCAAAGTCTCTTTAACAAAAGCTGATAATTATATAAATTCAGAAAATTATAACATTATAATAAACTTCTCTATTTTAAAAAAAGTTATTGATAATATTGGCAGTTGCCCAGAATGTAACAGTTGTATTGTTTTTACAGATGACAACGATAAACGAAGTGGATTTTCTCATAAGTTGAATTTTAAATGTACTAAATGTAAATTTCAGTATTGTACATATACATCTGATGATGTTAAAAAATCTGTACCTAAACAAGGCAGAAATTATTTTGATATTAACCTTAGAATCGTTATTGCTTTTCGTGAAATTGGGAAAGGCCACCAAGCCTTAGTGGACTTTGCCCGAATCGCAAACACTTCATGTATGAATAACAATGCATTTAACAAACTTAATAGCACTATTCAAAATGCATATAAATTATCAGCAGAACAATCCACAAAGGCAGCTGCAATAAAAGTTAAAGATAAAGTTAAAGAGGAGCACATTGGTTCAGGAAAAAAATTAATTAGAGTTTCTTCAGATGGCTCATGGCAAAAACGCGGTCATGTTTCACTAAATGGTGTGGTGACCACTATTTCAGAAGGGCGATGTATTGACTTTGAAGTCTTTTGCAAGTATTGTAGGGGATGTAGAATGTGGAAAAGAAAGCAAAATCACCCAGGTTATACTGAATGGAAAGCTAATCATATTTGCTCCTTAAATCACACTGCATCGTCAGGGGCTATGGAAAGTGCTGGTGTGGTAAAGATATTTAATCGTTCTGTAGAAAAAAATAATTTGATTTATAAATATTATTTGGGAGATGGAGATTCCTCTGCATTTAATGATGTTCTTAGCAGTAATCCATATGGAAAGTATCAAATCGAACCGGAAAATTTAGAGTGTGTTGGTCATATCCAGAAGCGCATGGTAATCGGTTAACTGGAAAAGGAAAATTGACAGAATGCGCAGTTAATAGAATACAAAACTATTTTGGTATGGCTATTAGACAGGCTGCAGCTAATAATTCCTTAAGTGAAAATGAAAAGTTATACCAAATGAAAAAAAACATTCGCGCAGTTCTTTACCATTGCACTAATTTTCCTGATCAATTTCGTCGCCACGTGTTATGTCCAGTGGGTCCTAATAGCTGGTGTAAATGGAAGAAAGGAAACTCTTCAGGTAACAGCATTTACATACCAAAAGTTAATTTACCAGTATGGATATATGATATAATTAAGAAAGAGTTTGAAGAATTAAGTGATGACAACTTTTTGAAAAAATGCACTCATGGTCAAACACAAAATTCTAATGAGGGTCTTAATAGTATTATATGGTCTAGATGCCCAAAAAATATTTTTATTCACAAAGCTTCATTTGAGTTGGGAGTGAACTCAGCTGTATTGTATTTTAATGAGGGAACTGCTGGTGTTCAGAGAGTGATGAGTCACCTCAATCTTGAGAATGGTGTAAAATTTGCAGTGTCCTCATTTTGTAGAGACCAAAAACGCGTTGCCAGCATGAATAAAAAAGACACTTTTGAAAAAAAAAGGAGAAGGATACATTTAAAATCAATTAACAAGGGTTGGCAAGATGAAGAAGAACAACTGGAAACCTTTAAACCCTACTCATCTGGAAGTTTTTGATATTTATATTAGTTATAAAATGTTTATTGTTGTTTTTCTTCATTCACTTTTTTGTGCAATTTTTAATTTTTGAAATATCATAACTTTTAAAGCTTTTTGCTTCAAATTTTCATGACATGTTCTACGTGTAATGATGGAGGGCCTGAACCAAAAATATTGTTGGATTTGATAAATTATTTACATTTTTCTATTTCATTTCATTAGCCAACCCCCCAAATTTTGATGTTTTTGCCAAAAAAAATCAAAAATTTCAACTTTTACTAAGAATATAGCAGTGATTTTGGTTCAGGCCCTTCGTTTTATGTGCATCAAACTGTTTGCAAAATATAAAGATCTGATTTTAAATGGTTTCCAAGTTATCGTTTTTCAAAATTTTGTTCAAATTTGACTGATTTTGCTATCTTTTTGACATATTTTCGCGATTTTAGGAATAAATTGTTGTAAAATGACACTTAGGTTGTTTTTTATTTTCATATATTATGCTTTTATACACTTTTTAATTTGAAATTATGAAATTTGGGTTTTTTTTTTTTTTTTTAGTGGTGAACCACCTTAATAAAGAATTTTTTTTTTAAATATGATTTTATTATTAATAAAAGTTTGGTTTTTATTAAGTGACATATTAATCACTTATAACTATTACAATTATTTTTATTTGCTTTTTATTTTTACGGTTATCTTTTATCATTACTATTTTTTATTTACACTATTTTTATTATTATTTTTCATTTATTAATTTTTTAGCATTGCTTTTTTGTTATACATAATATAATATACATATACCCAAAACAGAAATGTAAAACTGTGGCAAACAACTTTCCTCTATTTTTCTAAGATGGTTCTGAATTAGTTTTCGTTGATAAATTGAAGTATATATTTATAAGTATAAGCTTTGGTACACAAATGAAAAAAATTTATTTCTATTAAAAAAAATATATATTACTATTAATAAAATAAAAATGTTATTACTATTTGTTAAACGAATAATACGATTACAACGAATTTGTTAGATTCGAAGATTGCTAGCTTTTCTAGCTAGCGATCTTCGTGGCCAAATCGCTGTTTTATCGTTACGAGTTGTCGCTAGCTGGCAACTAGCTAGCGATATCCTC